ATTACAGGCACGCACCACCATGCCCAGCTAATTTTTTGTATTTTTAGTAGAGACGGGGTTTCACCATGTTGACCAGGATGGTCTCGAATTCCTGACTTTGTGATCCACCCGCCTCGGCCTCCCAAAGTGCTGGGATTACAGGCTTGAGCCACCGCGCCCGGCCTGAGTTGCTTCATTTTCACTGGAAAACACTAAATTGCTTAGAAGCCATTCACAACCCTATGAGGGATAGTCACATACTTCTGATTTTATTTCCTGAGTTAAAAGATATTAAGATTTATTTCTTTCAGGACATTTTTGTAGTCTCAGCTTTTTAAAAACAATGAGCACAAGTTCCATTTTTACATACACAAAGTTTAAAATAGTCGGACTTGTATGTGGCCTATTATAAAAAAAAGAGTGGATTGGAACATTATTCATAGTAGCCAAAAAGTGAAAACAACCCAAATGTGTGTCAGCTGATGAATGGGTAAATAAGATATGGTCTGTTCATACAATGAATGGAATATTATTCAGCCATAAAAAGTGAAGGGCCAGGTGCAGTGTCTCAGGCCTGCAATCCCAGCACTTTGGGAGGCTGAGGTGGGTGGATCACAAAGTCAGGAATTCGGGACCAGCCTGGCCAATATGGTGAAACCCCATCTCTGCTAAAAATACAAAAATTAGCTGGGTGTGATGGTACATGCCTGTAGTCCCAGCTACTCGGTAGACTGAGGCAGGAGAATTGCTTGAACCTGGGGGGCGGAGGTTGCAGTGAGCCAAGATTGCGCCACTGCACTCCATCCTGGGCAACAGAGCAACACTCTGTCTCATTAAAAAAAAAAAAAAAAAAAGTGAAGATCTTGTGTTGACTAATAAACCTTGAAAACATTGTGCTGAGTGAAAGAAGTCAGGTACAGAAGATCACATATATGATTCCATTCATGTGTATTATCCAGAATAGGCAAATGTATAGAGACAGAAAGATGAGTAGTTGTCCAGGGAAAGGAGGAGGGGGAATTGATTGGGACTGCTAATAGGTATAAGGTTTCTTTTGGGGTGATGGAAATGTGAAATTAGTGGTGATGGTTGCACAGCATAGTAAATAAAACCATGGTACTAAAAATCACTGAAATGTACACTTTAAAATGGTAAATTTTATGTTGTGTGAAATATTCTCTGTATTTAAGAAATGTTACTTTAAAAAGAGAATACAACTGATTAGCAACAGGTTAATAAAGATGCCTAGGAAAACCTGAAATCTTCAGATAACTTACACAAAAGATGAACCCCTTTATGATTGCACTCTGGAAGGCAAATGTGATCTGAAGGATGCCATAGCATGGTAAAACCCAACATTAGTTTCATTCTTTATGTTAAGGTTTTGTGCTTAGGTGCAGTTAAATCTATATTTTGTTATATTTGTAAAAGATGAGAACACCAGAAACCCTGAGTGAAAGGGTGGGATTGTTGACCATTGACACTTCATTAGGTAGCCTCACCGCACCATTATGTGAATCACTGTCTTGTCTTTTTTTTTTCTTTTCTTTTTTTTTTTTTTTTCTGGAGACAGAGTCTTGCTCTGTCACACAGGATGGAGTGCAGTGGCACAATCTCTGTTCACTGCAACCCTCACCTCTTGGATTCAAGCAATTCTCCCCTCTCAGCCTCCCAAGTAGCTGGGACTACAGGCACCTACCAGCACGCCTGGTTAATCTTTGTATTTTTAGTAGAGGTGGAGTTTCACCATATTGGACAGGCTGGTCTCGAATTCCTGACCTTGTGATCTACCAGCCTCAGCCTCCCAAAGTCCTGGGATTACAGGTGTGAACCACCACGCCCAGCCATAATAATTTTTTAAAGAGAATTTTCTCAGGAACACAAGAAAACCTAATTATAACCAAACAGTGTGTTTAGTCTATGTGGAGATATTTTTATCAAAACATAATATTAAACTATTTGATCTGGAAAATGTTTTTTTTCTCTTTTTTATTTGAGATGGGAGTCTTGCTCTGTCACCCAGGCTGGAGTGCAATGGCACAACCTCGGCTCACTGCAACCTCCACCTCCTGGATTCAAGTGATTCTCTTGCCTCAGCCTCCTGAGCAGCTGGAATCACAGGTGTGTGCCACCATGCCCAGCTAATTTTTTACTTTTAGTAGAGACGGGGTTTCACCATGTGGTCAGGCTGTCTCGAATTCCCAACCTCAGGTGATCCGCCCACCTCTGCCTCCCGAAGTGCTGGGATTATGGGCGTGAGCCACTGTGCCTGGCTGAAAATGTTAAATTACTAAATCATTAGGAACATCCAGTTTTGTAGACTCTATTCTTCTTAGTTGCTGGGAAAAAAGAAAACTCAGACTTCCTTTGAAGATGAGGCCTAACTAGATATCTGTCTTTCCTGTCTGGAGTGGGAAGAAAGGAACATAGTTTGCTTCTTTAGTGCTTTGTGAGATTGTTACGTTGCCACTGACTTTAATACTTGGAAAACTAGCCGGGCTTGGGGCCTCATCTGTAATCCCAGCACTTTGGGAGGCCAAGGCAGGCGGATCACCTGAGGTCAGGAGTTTGAGACCAGCCGGCAAACGTGGTGAAACTGTCTCTACTAAAAAATTGGCTCACTGTGGTGGTGCATGCCTGTAGTCCCAGCTGCTTGGGAGGCTGAGACAGGAGAATCTGTTGAACCCAGGAGGCGGAGGTTGCAGTGAGTTGAGATCGCGCCATTGCACTCCAGCCTGGGTGATGAGCGAATCTCTGTCTCCCGACAAAAAAAAAAAATAAGGCTGGGCGCGGTGGCTCAAGCCTGTAATCCCAGCACTTTGGGAGGCCGAGGCGGGTGGATCACGAGGTCAAGAGATCAAGACCATCCTGGTCAACATGGTGAAACCCCGTCTCTACTAAAAATACAAAAAATTAGCTGGGCATGGTGGCGCGTGCCTGTAGTCCCAGCTACTCAGGAGGCTGAGGCAGGAGAATTGCCTGAACCCAGGAGGCGGAGGTTGCGGTGAGCCGAGATCGCGCCATTGCACTCCAGCCTGGGTAACATGAGTGAAACTCCGTCTCAAAAAAAAAAATACTTGGAAAGCCACAGTATATTTTTCTGTTCATTGTATTCTAAATGTTCTTACGTTGAGGGAGCTTACTTTCTTTTTATTGTTTATTTTTTACAGCAGCTGACAACTTTTGAAAGGAGCTTGTTTTCTAACCATCTGCATGATTTTACATCCTCTGAACCTAGCTGATTACTTTTAGCTTTGATAATGCTCTGATGGACCACAAACATACACTTGTTTGTACTCTGAAAATTTATTTCATTTAGTCTGAAGCTGCAAGCTCATGTAGTTCATGATTTCTTAATTTCTTAGGTCCACATGAGTTATGAAACATGAACCTGCTGCATCAAATATAAAAACCTGTGAATTATGTAGTATATTGAGTATGTATTCATTAGGACGTTTTACCTAGGTGAGTTTCTCTTTGATAGCTCTAGAATCATCAGCTATCATTAGTTGGTCATTATAGCTTGACTATAAGAGATCCACTTAATTTCTGGCTCCTGGGGTTGTTGTAGAAGTCAATATTAGGACAAAATAATTTCAAACTAAAAGTACCTGCCCTCTTTTCTCCAAGATGGGAACTATCTAGGATCTTCTAGGCACGCTCAGCTAAATCCCATGTGATAAAATTTTGTTGATTAATTTTTCTTTTGGTCTTTGTTGTACACACTAGGATGCATTTTAATAGCTTTATTAAGGTATACTATACCATAAAATGTACCCTTTTAAGGTGTGGAATTGAAAGGTTTTTTAAAGTAAATTTACGGTTGTACAGCCATCATCAAAACGCAGTTTTAGAACTTTTCCACTGACCCAAAACAATCCTTTCTGCCCATTGATAGTCATTCTTCATTCCTACCACTAGCCCCAGGCAAACACTAATCTCCCTTCTGTTTCTATAAATCTGCCTTCCTGGAAATGTCATGTATGTAGAAGTATATATATGTTGCCTTTTGAATCTGGCTCCTTTTACTTTGTATAATCTTTTTGAGGCTTATCTGTGTTGTAGCATGTATTAATAGGCCCTTTTACTGCCAAATGAGATTCTTTTGTATGAAGATAACTACATTTGCTTATCCGTTCACCAATTGATGGACATTTGGGTTGTTTCCAGGTTTTGGTGATTGTGAATAATGCTGTGAACATAAAATGCACTTTTGAAGATGACTCTATGGAGTTGCCTTAGTGTAGGGTACTCTGGATGTAAAATTGGGTGACACAAACTGATCATGACTGTCATGGACCAGAATCTGACCTCACTAGCCAATAACACAAATTCAGTACTGTTTTGTTCCTCTGTCCATAGCATAACCCTTGTGAGTCTTGATTGGTTAACCAGTGCAGAAGCAGCTCAGCACCAATAGTCTTTGTTGTTAAGTTTCTTCAGAGGAACTGAAGGCCAGTTGTTGATTTTAATACATAATGACTGTTACATGTAGACAAAACCCTTCTTAGGGCCCAAAAGGTAATATGTTTGTTAGTGTTATTTTTTTTTTTTTAAGGGAAAGCTAATATGACTTTTTTATACTAGTGGTCTTCTTCCTAAATCTGGAGTTGGGGATAGTCTTATTCCTTAGAAGATCCTTAAGGGTACTTCTGAGTTTGAAGCTTTGACAAATTGAGAGATGGATGCAGAGCATTTTATAAACTGGCAGGATGACATGTTGGCGAGAAATCCCTAAGGTTTGCAGCAAATCTAGGTCCTTTTGGACTTGTGAGCTGATCTGGTTTGGAAGTGGCATTCTACCAGAGCCGTCCAACAGTACCTCATGCACTGCTGGAAATGCTCCACATCTGTGCGCAGCGGAGTAGCCAAGGTGGCTGTTGAGCATTGGAAGTGTGATTAGTTTGACTGAAGAACATAATTTTTATTGTCTAACATTTTAATTAAATGTAAATAACCAAATGTAGCTAATGCATACTGAATTGGATAGGACAGTTCAGATAATTTTTATTAAACTGTCACAAATCAGTTTTTAGTTTCTGTCACCTACATTCTAGATTCTGGATTTTACTATTGCTTAACTTTGGAAAATGTTACTATTTAGCATGTCTTTCCAGAATGTTGCTTTCTTAATTTGCTTTTGTGCTTTGTATAGGTGGCACAGGAATGGCTTACCTCTCCAAATAAAGAGAATTTCTATCAGTTGCAAGTACGAAAATTTCCTGCCGATTATATAAAATACTGGGAGTTTGTGGGTAAGTTTTTTCTTATGCAATTTGGAATATATGATATAACAACAGATTTCTAATTAAGAGGAGATAGCATTATTTGAATTTAAGGGGACACAAATTTTCTAAGCTAAATTTATGACTTCTTAGAATATGTTTAAAGTCTTAATGAGGATAGTTACTGGGAGCACTATGAATATAAAATTCATGATTTTTTTCCACTCTGTAGTTAGAATGCTACAGACTGGATTGTCAGTGGAGGCTGGGAATGGGAAAGAGGGTGAGTGGAGGGGATTGGTAGGGGTGTTGCTGTAATATAGTCTTGACAGATTCTGAGTAAATCTTCCTGGCATCTGTCTTCATTTCATGATTGATCTGAACCACATACCACTCTGTGTCCAATTTATAAATACACCAAACATTCAGAACTCTTTAAAATAAAATGATTAAGTCTTCTTTTAACCCCAGCCCCCATCCATCCTACTCTATAGATATGCTTAAGAAAAAAAATGAACGTGTGTATATTTTTGGGGAAAGGTACTACATGTTCATTGGAAAACATTTCGGTGTCAGCCAGCCAGTAAACATCATCCACAATTCCCGTTATTCAGAGATGATTCCATTACCATTTTGGTGTATATCTTACTGCCATACTTTCTACTTAACTCATATGGGGCAAGAGTGTGTATGTGGTGTGGGATCATTTTGCTTATTTTGTGACATTTTTCATTTATTCAGCAAATACTGTTTTTATTGATTTGATAGTAGATGATTCTTGATGCCGGGTATGTAGCTGTGAAGAAAATGCAAAATTCCTGCCTTCATGAAGTTTATATTTGATTTATTTTCATGTAATAATTGTGACTGTCTTTTCAGAGTTCTTAAATGACAGTGTACAGTATTTAATAGTTGCAGTTATCCCGTTACAAGCATGTTCATTTAACCAATCATTTTATTTAGACATAAACATTGTTTCTAATTTTCACTATTGTAAATACTCTGAGTAAATCCCTTTGCTAGGTCAAACCATACGTGCATTTTAAGACTTTCAAGTCATATTGTCTGTGCCTACCAAAAAAGAATTCCATTTTCATTTCTGACATCAAGATATAAGGATGTGCACCTCTCTTGTTCAGTAATTTAGACCTTTTTTTCTCCCAGTTCTATATGTGAAAAATATATCCCATTTAAAGCTGGAGTTTTTGTCCCCAAATGTTACTGGTTCTTTGTATTCTTGGGGTTGTGGAAGTAATTGCCTGTTTATGCCCTTCCTCCTTTTATTCTATCGGGGGATATTGTTTTCTTTTTAATTTGTGTGCATTGTTACAAGTTTTTTTTCTAATTTCATTATTTGCTCTTCCACCCCCCCACCCACCCCCCCAGACAGGGTCTTATCATGTTGTACATGCTGGCCTCAAACACTTGGGCTCAAACAAACCTCCTGCCTAAGCCGCCAAGTAGCTGGGACTTCTGGGGTGTGTCACTGCTCCCAACTGCCGTTATATTTTTGACATGCAGTTTTTGATGCCAAGATAATTTTAATCTTCATGTATTTAAAACTGCCCTATACTTATTTACAGTTTTATTATATAATTGACCCTTGGACAATGTAGGGTTTAGGAGTGCCAACCTCTTCCACAGTAAAAAATCTGTTTATAATTTGACTCCAAAAACTACTAATAGCTTACTGTTGGCCAGCTAACTTAAAACTTTACTGATAACATAAACAGTCAATTAACATGTAGTTTATATGTTATATCTATTATATACTATATTCTTATAATAAAGCTAGGGAAAAACTAAAATCTTAAGGAAGAGAAGATATATTTATTCTTCATTAAGTGGAATGGATCATCATAAAGGTCTTTGTCATAGTCACACTGAGTAGATGGAGGAACAAGAGGAGGGATTTGTCTTGCCCTCTCAGGAGTGGCAGAGATGGAAGAAAATCTGTGAATTAAAATCTATGAATTAGTGGACCTGCATACTTCAAACCCATCAAACGTACATTTAGATGCAGTAGCCACAAAGTAGAAAGAAAGCAGGTGTTTTGCCTGACCATGTCATTTGCACACATGGTTTAATAACAGTAAGCCATTTTTTTTTTTTTTTTTTTTT